GCCCCCCCCCCCCCCCCCCTCCTTTCAACATCTTCTCTCCCTGTTGAAATTTTCCGGGGCGTTCATGTTTTTTTCAGAACGCATAGTTACACAACATGCGTCTGTGCATGGCTCACATAACTACGCAACGCGTAATTATGCACATGGGGAGCTGAGTGACAAGACATTTTTTGGGCAAGCTTCTGCTTCATACGGTGTTCGAATGGACCCAGTGAGGCGAGGACAACATCCGCTTCGCCCTTAACCCACTAAGCGACAGCCTTAAAGGGCGAAGCCTATACGACATAGAACATTGGTTACGTACTGTAACCCCAGATTCTATGAGTATAGGCGTAGCCCTTTAAGCGTCGGGCCTCACTGGCTCCTGAATGGCTGAAGAAAAAATAAAGCTATTTGGGAGCCGATTACCCGCTTTTAATGTAACTTATACGGATCGGGTGGGGCCCACACAGCAGGTGGGTGTTGATTAATTTTTTCAGTGTGATGCTTACGCATAACGGGATAAACCCACTAAGCGACAGCCTTAAAGGGCTACGCCTATACTCATAGAATCTGGGGTTATAGTACGTAACCAACGGTTTCCTTTCAATCCCTGAACAATTCAAGTCCAGAAAAACATCTTGCAAATTACAAACATGCACTACTGTGATCCCTCATGTCAGCGTACCGCTTGTTTCTTTTTATCCGTTTTTCTGCAGGAATTCTAATAAACCTCTTGTTGTTCTTTCTGTCATCAGGAGATGATCCCGTTCGCTGTTGTGGGCAGTGATCAGGAGTACCAAGTGAACGGCAAGAGGATTCTGGGAAGGAAAACAAAATGGGGTACCATCGAGGGTAATAACCGTGAACACACATGCACATGAAATGACACAGCTCTGAATGCAGTTTACTCATGTTCCATCAGAAGTTGAGAAACGTCATCAGAGAGGGTTTTCATTCAGCGATCAGGCACGTGTTTGTCTGTTGGTTACCATGGAGGTGAACTTTCGTCCGACTGCTTTGGATTAAGAGCGAGTTGCACAGGCCAACAAAACTCATCTGGAGCAGAATGATTGTATTTATTTGTGATGGAATCTGTGAGTGTTTTTATTCGGCTCGGCCAAATTATGTTCTGAAGCCTGTTTTGAAACCGACAGCGGTGCACCCAGCTCACTACTGAGCCCAGCCGTGGGCCTTTGAGCTGTGGTCCACAGCAGGTCACAGACTCTGCTTGTGATGAGTGGACAAAGCTGAACGCAGCACAGTAGAACATAATATTGTTTATGTATCTCGTTCTATTCCTGCTTGTAACAAGAAGGTCTGAGACTGGAGAAGGAGCTCCGTTGTCACAGTGATTAGAAGGGAATTTAAAAACTAGATTTAGATGCACAAGTTAGAATTTATCATAGATTTTATCGGAAGAGTCAACATTATGGCAGCACAGTGGATCAGTTGGTAGAGCTGCCTGCTTCTCAGCGAGCAGGTTGCCGATTCAAATCCCAGCCGTCTTTCTGGGTGGAGTTTGCATGTTCTCTCTGTGTATGGGTGTTTTTTCTCCGGGTACTCCAGTTTCCTCCCACAGACCAAAAACATGCATGTTAGACTGACTGGTAACTCTAAATTGTCCCTAGGTGTGAGTGAGAGAGTGAATGGTTGTTTGTCTCATTTGTCTCTGTGTCCCTGTGATGGACTGGAGACCTGTCCAGGGTGAGCCCGCCTCTCACACAGTGACTGCTGGATATGGGCACCAGCGACCCCCGCAACCCGAAAAGGAAGAAGCGGGTAAAGATAATCGATGCATGGATTAAAATATAATGTTCCCGTTAGGTTAAAATAGCTGTGAACAGTGATATTAAAACAGAAATTTACTTGTTTTTAATGGGGTTTTTTTTTTTGCTTTGTTTTTTTTAGCAATGTTAAAGGAAAATATGTTCTTTCAGCTTTAAAACTCCGTGGTAGAAACCATGTGATGACTAGAAGTAATTAAATAAAGTTTGATTGTTGACACTAAATAATTTAGAACTGTTTTAATTAGAATTCCGTGTTTTCTGCATATAAACCCTGATGTTTACCATCTTCCTGTTTAGAACATTTTCAGTGTCTTCATCTCTTTGGCAGCACAATCTCTTGCACGACAAGATTCCCACCAGCATTCGACACTCTCCGGTGTAACATTACAGCTGATTACCTGTTAAAATGGAAACATAATACTAATCTCCCTGGTCTCACTGGGTGATATGAGCTTCATAGGGGGGGTGGGGGTGGGGGTGGGACTGAAAAGGATTGCTGTGATTTCTTTATTATTAACGTCGTTATCAACCCTCGTAAACATCCCAGAGGCTGCGGGGAGCGATGAGGAGGAAGCCACAGGTTGATGCGCTGTCAGAGGCTCATATAGAGCTGGAAATGATCGTCTCTGATGCTGGGGAGTCACTTCTGCTGCTAATATCTGAGGTGGTTCAACAGCAGCCGTGGAGATAAGGTAGATGGACCGAACACAGAGGAAAGACAACACAGGCAAGTTTAAGTGTCACAGCTGGAGATAAGGAGGGGAAAACATCTGTGAGATTACCTTAAAGGCAGATTATTGACTCACACAAATCCATTGAATAAAGCAGGACAGTGGCAAAATGCTGAAAAGGCCGGATTTAACAGCTGGCACAACTGTTAGTGCAGCCCAAAAGAAATTGTTGCATCTAGTGATTCTAGTGCAGCAGATCATCAACAGCAGGAGATAAGAATATGGGTGCGAGCAACAGCAAAAGTAAAAAAAACCTACAGAGGTTAGTTGGAGTCAAACAGATGATGTGTCAGCAGTTTTGTTTAGCACCTTCTGCAGCTCAGAGTCTGGACCATCACAACCTGCGAGGCTGCTGCTGCGTAACATATTTTACATTTGAACGTCTTCTCACAGAGCTCGCTCAGAGAAAAGACGAATTGATAGTTCAAACATTTTAAACTATAAGGCTCTGTGGAAAGGCTACTTACTTAATATCTTACTTATCTTTATGAACAACCTCGTTTTACAGAAACAGTTTAATTTAGACCAGACTGATGAGTTAGTATCTTAGTGGAGCCAGATTAGAGGGGATTTGTGCCATCTTAAAGCAACTCCAGTCTCAAAACATTTCATGGCAGCTGAAAAATTATTCTATAAACTGTTAGCTTTACATTGCTACGACAGAAATATTCTACTTGTACTATTAGAGGTGCTACCGCTAGCTGCTGCTGTTATTAGTACTAGCGAACAGACGTAGGATTAGATGTAAATAA